CGTACAGGCACCTTCAAGGGCCCGTCGGGCCAGGCTAGAATTCAGAGGCCGTGAGATTAATGGGTTGGGCGCGGGGGGCTTACATGGAAATATACATAAGTTAATAATCTTGGACAAGATTTCTATGAGTCCTAGGACTCACATTTAGGTATGTGGCCCCTCTTTTTTTTTTTTTTTGATAGAATTAGGACCGAAATTTTTTAGATATATACAATCCCTAACATGGAGATAATTAATATGTAAAAAAGAAAAAATAATTAAAGCTACAAGGATAATTTTATGGAGAAATTTTTTGAACCGTTAGATTTATTCTTTTAGGAGGGACGGCAACGGTATGTCTATCTTAAAGACGGATATTCGATACCTCGGCGATGCAAATGTGAAAATGCGTCCCCTGACTCACATGCTGCTTTTCGTTTAATCTAAACTACATTTGCAACTTACATATGTAACATGTAACTTAAGTAAGGTAATTTATGTAAATTACATTCACTATTTACATAATATGTTAATGTAATTGTAGTGCAAAGAGGGGTGTTTACTTAATTTTATAGTTCATCTTTAAATAACAAAACAGTGGACCGAATTTTATTTTTATATTAAAAATAGTGTATATGATAGTACAGCTCCTTAAAATTTTTTATTATTCCACCCAAAATTTGATTATGAAAAATGTTTTGATAGGGCTGCAACCCATCAAATAAAGAGCTTCACCCAAAACTCGCCGAAAATTGCAACTCTCGCATCTGAAATGTTCGAATCGATCACTCGGCCATGAACATTATAGTTGTAAGAAAAAATAACGGTTTCAAGCCCTAAAAATAGTACATATTGTAACACATGTCTAGATCGTCCATTTTGCCCTAAAAAAAGTGTTCATGGATATCTAAGATCAGTATATTTTTTTACTATTTGAGCTTCAAATTTTAAAGTTGGTATTCCAATTGATTTTAGAGCTATCATAAATATTTTTGATGTCTTTTTTGGATGAGGACGTGATGTGAGGCGTTACTTTGTTTTCGAAAGCTTAGGCTTCATAAAAAAAACTGCATCCTTTTATTATTCCATCCGTGTTCTAGTTGCTGGGAGTGGTTGAGCCAAGTTAGACCCGGGTTTTGGCTTTTTTGGCATAGGCTGAACCACCCATGCCTTATTCTTTTGGGTCTTACCTGGGCTTAGGACCCTATGATATGAGATTGGACCAAGATTAGCCTTGGCCTCTCCAAGCCCTGCCCTCTTGTACAACTATCCATTGTTTTTGGAATTGCCTTGGACATGGTGCTCACCACTTCCCTAGGTGGCGAGTACTACTCATTCTAGGAAAACATAAAAATAAAAATTACAATAATAAAATAAGTTATAAGAATCGATTAAAGACTATAGAAGATGAATATTTCAAACAAATCAAGAAAGGAAAAATAAATACTTGGATCATGTGACAATAAAAGTTCTCAAATCATCTTAAAACCCATCAAAATTATTTAAAAACATACTTAGAAATATTTTTTGATTTTCTAACTTTTCTTTTATTGTTTTACAATCTTTTTTTGGCACGTGGTGAATTGCCCTCAAAACTCACTATAACTTCGCCGACTCTGAGTGGATTCGGTCGAGTCTTGCTACACTTCTGCCCTAACCCCAAAATTCTAAATATTTATGAGAAGAATTTCAGAAAAACTCCACCTTAATAACGGCCCAGATTCAATAAGTTCTCAAATCACCTTAATAACGTCCAATGGCCCAGATTGAATCTGGACCGATCTGACGCTCACAGATATTCAATAGTATTTGAATTTAATTTTTTTTCTACAAATCAGATTGACCTGAATTTTATTTTTTTGTGTTCATAAAAAATATGAGAATCTACGAAAAATTTAAAAAAAATATTTTACATGAAATAAATTGACCAAAATACCCACCAAAAC